TTTTTCTCAATATTTTTCCAATCCAACCCAACAATTATTATACATCATTGTAAAGAGAAAGCTTTGAGCTTTAATTTAGAATTAGTCTCATTCCTTTATTTCGATAAATACGGCTTCCAGGAATTTTTAAATTAGCATCTTTTTTGACACTTTTAGGTTATACGAAAATGTAAGTTTTATTTCAACATTTTCTTTCTCAATATTTTTCCAATCCAACCCAACAATTATTATACATCATTGTAAAGAGAAAGATTTGAGCTTTAATTTAGAATAAGTTCCTTAATTTCAATAAATACGGCTTTCAAGAATTTTTAAATTAGTATCTTTTTTAACACTTTTAGGTTATACGAAAATGTAAGTTTTATTTCAACATTTTTTTCCTCAATATTTTTCCAATCTAACCCAACAATTATTACACATCATTTTAAAGAGAAAGCTTTGAGCTTTAATTTAGAATAAGTCTCATTCCTTAATTTCAATAATTACGGTTTCCAGGAATTTTTGAATTTGCATCTTTTTAGATTATGCGAAAATGTTAATTTTTGCTCAATATGTTTTTTCTCAATGTTCTATCAGATTTTCGTCGTTCTGTAAATACAGGTCTGATAAATAAATATTCAAATTTACTGCGTCCACGAAAATGTCGTAGTGCAAGTTCAAAAGAAAGAGGAAGTTGTGAAAATTGTTCAGCCAAACCTCAATATGTACTGCGTGCAATGTTTATTTATGTTGTAATGAAAGAAAGAACTGTTTTTCTGAATGTCATAATGTGATTTAGATAAAGCAAGTGTTACTTATTTTCTAACATAGATACAAATAGTTTTTATATACTGAAAATATATTTTAATGCTTGACGGTACTCTCAAGTGAAGGGATTGCATATTTTGCTAAAATTGATTCCAAAGGCTTCTACTGAGTGTATTTTGATAGCGTTTTAATTCTGTCACAAAGTTTCAAAATTTTTGACTTCTTGGGACACAAAGGGTTAATGTAATTTGAGAAAATGTTATATGTTGGAGTTAGTAGTGAATTTTCCTGAGAATGAATGTTCAATTTAGTAGTTACAAATTAATTTAAAAAACGTAACTTTTTTACACATAATAGTAAAAACAGGACGTGTATGTCCGTTCGTTCACGGACGCGCAACAATTATCGTTACGTTCAGGTCAACCTGTCAGTTTTAATGGGCAATCACGGTGCGTGTCCTCGTGTCTGTCGAACTGTATCTTTGAGGATAATCAATACATTCCACCTAATAACATTCTTTCGCCGGAATTTATCGATTTATTTTTCATTTAAATAAAAATCTAAAACAATAACATTTTTATTAAACTTTGATACAACACTATGAGTACAACATTAATTTCGTGAGGATTCTTTATAGTTGACACTAATTTTATCACTATAAACAAGACAAGTAATAAAAAAACAACATAGACATGTATAAAACAACTTAATTGTTGAGATAAAAAAAAGCAGACATAATGTTTTTTGTTGTTATCATTGTTATGGTATTAAATTGCAATATATATAATGTTTCATATGGAGAGATAAAGGATCCGGAATAAAATAGAAGTATTACGCGGAGATAACAGCCCCGTTAAATATGCACATACATAAATAATAATGTAATAAGAGTGGGCACGTTATTATGATTATTACTAAACGGTATTATAATTATTAAATAACCCGATATTTTCGACTATGATTGCTAAATATGAAATTGTAGGTTTTTTAGAGAGAACTTAAAAGGCCAATTTACACCGCACACTAAAATTAATCGGAACTCGAAGGAATATGGACATTAATATGAGTTGACAAGGTCAAAACCCACCTACTTAGTATGAACAAATACCAACACAATCAACGGAGACGTTGAAATTAAAGTTTTAAAAAATTAACCTCAAAAAAAAATTAAAAACTAGATTCTCACTTACCTATTTTAGAAAGTTAAGAAACTTACATTATAACAAGTGTGTATTCATTAACACTTTCGAAAAAATCAAAATAAAATTTTTACAATAATAATAATAAAATTTTTTGATGATGCATACAAACATTTTTTTTGCTTACCTGTCGGTATTCACTTGTCGATCGCGTTTTGTTTACCACGACTGTTTGATTTTGTCTCCAACACTTGTAATGTCGTTTAGGAATGATGAATTATGATCGTTTTTCCGAACAAATTTTCCACCGATCAATGGATAAATACCAAAAAAATCACATTTCCATTGAATCGGATTAAAACGAAACTATTCACGCGGTAAAATTAGAACGGAAACGATTATTACAAATTTGACGTGTCGAATTTCCACCTGTACACTACTAAAACATTCCACTATCTACATATCCAACCTGAACGTAGCAAAAGCACAAACCAAACTGTCACTAACGCAGCTGACTATACAATACAAACAATTATGGTTGAGTGGTTTTATTGTCCAAAGAGGTCACCACTTATTATATTAAAAAAAAATTAAAACTTAATTTTCTTTAATAATTTAATTAACAATAAAAAATAAGTATTAAGATACAAATTAATATTAATAATCTTATTTGAAATAATTTTTATTAAAAGATCAATTGAAAGATTTTTTTTAAATTTCCCGCTTAAATTCCCGTTTAGTTTTACGCGATTTTACTTGATCAATAAAACTACTCTGTTTAACACACCATTTTCCGAAAAATAATAATAATAACAATAAAAAATGGCAGATGAACACATCCCTACTGGTTGGGAAAAAAGATTAAGTCGTTCGACGGGTATTTATCTTACAAATTAATCATAAAAAATTTTTCCTCGACATAACCTATTTATGCCGGATTTTGAGGTTAACTTCTTATTATTGTTGTAGGTCAGTACTATTATCTTAATATTTATACGAAAGAATCGCAATGGGATGCCCCCACAAGTCCCGCTGAACCAGCTAATGAATCTGGACCAGATAGAATTCAATGTTCGCATTTATTAGTTAAACATAAAGATTCGCGGAGACCTTCATCATGGAGGGAAGAAAATATCGTTAGATCCAAAGAGGAAGCGTTAGATATGATTAAAAGTAAATTTATTAATCAAAATAATTATATTATTAAAATTTATTATTTTATTTATAGCTTATCGAGAGCAAATAACAAGTGGAAAAACCAATCTTCCTGATTTAGCTCAAAAGTATTCCGATTGTTCATCAGCACGACGAGGAGGTGATTTAGGACCGTTTGGAAGAGGGGCTATGCAAAAGCCGTTTGAAGATTGTGCTTTCTCTTTGAAAATTGGGGAATTAAGCGATCCAGTTTTTACCGCCTCTGGAGTTCATTTAATTTTACGTACCAGTTAAATTTGATGTTTATAAATAACAATATTTAATACAGAGTATTTTCATAGATACTTTAAGCGGCTAATCATCATTCTTTTTCGAAAGCCTAAACATTTTTTAAATGATTACATGTTGTTTCTTTTCGCCTAAACTATCTAATAATAAATAATAATAAATGGGGTAATGTAAAATCTCAATGTTGGAAATTAGGTTAGGTTTTTATAAAAACAATTTGTTTTTATCTTCAAACGTATTTTTGCTTGTAATTAAATAAAATGTTTGCTGAAATAAATTAATTACAAGAAATTGAGTCTATATTATTGTTTAATTTTTTTAATTCTAAAATAAATTTTATTTCCGAAACTTTTAGGTTGGTATCACGAATTTTACTATGAACTAATTTTAAATAATTTAAACAAATTAAATAATAATTTTTTTCATGAGAAATCCTTTAATGTTAATTAATATTAAAGTTATTGAATTTTTAATATTAAGAAACTAAAAATAAATGTCATCATTACAGTTTACTACTTTATCGCCCTACTTCAATCAATAGTCATAAATAAACTTGGAAAATTCCAAGTAAAAATAAGTAACTGCACCAAAAAAGTAAGTAATCGGTCATGAAATAACCTTAAACCAGCATAATAATTATTTTAAGTGATGGCACACTCTTCCCAGCAAGGGTATGCCCCATTATCTCAATCAATCAGCGACTCGGATTCAGAAAAAGAGATTCAAATGGATTCGATGAGATCTCTTAAACCAATGAATGGGATGCACAAAAAACTCATTAGTAATGGTTTTACACTTCCAAACCATACCGTGCATAATCTAAAATCCAAACCACCAATGAGTTTTGCAAGGAAATTGAGTTTTGTAGTCTCCATTTTGGCTTGTTTTGTTACGGTTGTGGTGTTTTTATGGGTTCCACCATGCACGGGGACATGTCCTAAGCGCATCGCATATTGGGACAATAAATGGAGAAATTTGGAATATACAGGAAAAATTAATATTGTTCCAAGTGCTTTCCCTTTTATAAATAATTTGGTGTTGTTGTTTAGAAGAAATGTTATAAAAAGTAATGATACATATACAACAGATGGAGTTATTTCATTAATGGGTGATAGCGGGAAAGTTGCTTGGTTAATCCCACAAAATAGCACCCCAAAAGATTTAAATTGTTATTTAATCGATGTTAATAATGATACAGTTATGGATTGTTTATTAATAGGCGAATCGGGTATTGAGTTGATTAACCCTATATCTGGGGAGATATTTTATAGAGTAAAAAATTTGGAGAAAAAATCCTTAAGTGGAATCGATGTACCAATTGCTATAACGGACCTAAATAAAGATGGAATAAAAGAAATGATAACCGTAGTAAACGGAAAAAATTACCACAATAAATTCATACTAATCAGTGGAAGAACAGGATTTATTTTAACCAAAATCATATTCAAACATTGCATTAACCTGAATTGCATTAAATTTGATCAAAATTTAATCACTTTCTCTTGCACCAATTCAACAGAAATCGAATATTTTCAATTAACATTAAAAAACATTGAGGAACGTTATCATAATAAAAGTTATGAGGTCACACCGATTAAAATAAGTTATTCCCCGGTTAAAGAAAACGAATATAACCTAAAAAATTTTAAACTTATTGTTAATAATGTAGGGATTTGCCCTGAATGTCACACAAATCTAACTCTTTATAATGACAAAAATACGAGCGTTTGGATGTTATCACAATCAAATAGTTTTGTAATGAAACCGACAACTTTTTCATTTCAATCAACCAAATCAAATTTGATTTCATTAAGAGGTCATCTAAACGGATTTATTATTAAATATTGGCAGTACACGTTAGTACAAGAAAAGAAATACCTAAAAGATACGCCTAATTTGCTTCAAACTGACCAATCTCCAATGAACTTAATCAATGAAGGTGTCGTTTTAATAACTTTTAACGAAACAGACGTGCACGTTATTAATGCAAGTTTGACACAAATAGCTCAGATGTGCTTTTTAGTTAATAATTCTGAAGATGTTTGTCAACCGGCTTTAGAAAGTCAAGAAAATTCGTTGGCGGTTAACGATTTAGATCAAGATGGGTCTTTGGAATTGATCACTTATGATACCAAGTACGTTGACGTTGATGGTAATTGGAAATTGTTCTCTGAAATGAAAGTTATTCGATTGGAGACTGAGTTGCCAAAACTTTACAATGCACCTAAATGAATTCTCTGTATAAATTTTATTTTAAATAGCTGTGATTAATATTTAACGATCAATATTTATTAAACTAAGTGTGTATCTAGTCTAATTTAAAACGATACAATTTTGTGCATAAAAATCACTCCTTTGACTCTGTTGTTGGAGGTTAGATTAAAACAATTCTAGTCACTGATGTATTTATTGTTTTTAAGAAAATTTAATATAGAATATGATTAATGTGTGATTCAATAAACAAAGATGATTAAATGTTTATTAAATTTTAATTTAAGTTTATTCCAAAATAAACAACATTTTTTCGAATATAAGTACCATATGACATCATGCGACATCTCTTAATCTAATACGGAACTGTACGGAACAAGAAGAATTTGAATAAATTAGATTCTAAAAAACAAAAATTAAAAATTTGCAAATAATTTATTTGATACACTTTTAAATTAAATGAAATGATTCATAATCAATAAAATATTCATAATAAATTTAATTTAACAACTTGTTGATTTTAATCATATACAGTGTGTCCCAGGATAGATGTTACAAGAGGTATAATGACTTAAAAAATTTTAAATTTTATTTTAAGGCTGAGGAATTAAGCCCTGCTTGGTGTGGAGAGAATTTTAAGTATACTTTCATATTTTGAAAACCAACTTGGCCTTGATAGTGAAGCGAAAACTATTTTTAGTTTAGGTAAAGTAAGCTTTTTGTTCCTGATACGGCAAAATATCATTAAGAAAAGTTGTTCAGAATGAGAAATTGTGGTACTATGCAAAATTTCAGAAAGATCTACCTACATTGATTAAACCACCATATGTTAGATAAGATTTTTTTTTGCTGATAGAAAGATAGGCAATTTACTTCCAACACGATGGATGCTCTGCACATTCTACAGCACGTGTAGCTGAATGGTTAAATTTAATATTTCGAGAAAAGATTATATCTAGAAATGGTCCAATTGCGTGGCCTCGAAGGTCTCCCGACCTTACAATATTAGATTTCTTTCATGGGGTCGCCTGAAACAACTAGTTTTCGCTCAACCAACACCGAACAATGGAAATATATTAAAAGAACGGATAACAAATGCTATACGACAAATTTAGGCATCGTATAGAAAAGTGTGCAACAAAAGGTGGATGTTATGTTGAATAAACGACAGTTAATTTTACGTTCGATTTTCTATAAATAAAATAAAATTATATAATATTTATGTTATTTAAACTAAAATGTGATGGTTCAACCAAAGTAGATAGATTTTTCTGACATTTTGTATAGGAATATAATTTCACATTTGGAACAACTTTTCTTAATAAAATTTTTCAGTATCATGAACAAAAAGGTTACTTTACCTGAACTAAAAATAGTTTTCTCTTCACTATCAAGGCCGAGTTGATTTTCAAAATATGAAAGTTTACTTAAAATTCTCTCCGCACAAAGCAGGGCTTAATTCCTCAGCCTTAAGATAAAATTCAAAAATTTTTAAGTCATTATATCTCTTGTAACATCTATCCTGGGACACACTGTATATGGTCGACAGAATTACCGGAACCAAAAGTGATAGAAAGTTCAAACATGTCTCAGAACGGCGTATAACGTCATAATA